CCAGTACCTCCCGGAGCACACCCAAACATGACTAATGTGCTTCCCACCTCGGGGCTGTCCCCTTCCTTAAGGAAACACAGCACAAGAGCCCTATTAGGCTAATGTACTACAGAGGGGTCTGTGTCTGGACAGGAAGAAAAGTGGACAACTACGTCAATCATTAGAATAGACATAACCAACATTTACCAAGTCGAGTATTCACAAGTCATGTGGCTGATCCCTGTGAGAAACGGTGCACCCTAAAATATAAAATCAGCTCCAAGAGGCAGTTATTAACAGTAAGTGTAGACTGTGATACACTGAAATAAAAACAGATGTATCCAGGGCCTTTGAGTAAGCTCTGTGAGCCTTATCTCTACAGGGAAATGCAAAGTCCAGCGAACCCCCATTAAAGGTCGTCACTGCAGCCAGTCAGCCCAGCTGTGATGGCTTCACACCCGATGGAGGCACCAGTTTCCCCAGTCGCACTGCGGGGAAGCAGATGGGAAGCAGCCTCATCATGTGCCACCCAGCCCATGAGCGGCCATCTTCATGACCCCTTGGGTGTGGGCTTGACCCTGAGGTGTTCACCCAGCCCTTCAATGGCCTCCCATGGGCGCCACTCAGAACCTCAGGAACAGCACGTTCTCCTGAGCGATGACGCAAAGAATCCCCCTGCGTCCGTGGGAAACCTTCTCCTAAAGGCTGCTGCCCTGCTAACGAGTCATGGCAGGGTGCCTTGCCATTGGGTTTCTTATCCAAAAGAGAGACAGCGGTCTCTAGCTCCTTCCCACTGGAGTATTATAAATCTAGTCACCCTCACTGCACTCCCTTCATAAGCTAGATCTAAACAAACAAAAGAAAGTACAAAAAATATTTTTGTAACTGCATCCCTTCCTCTTAGGCACATTAGTATAAAAGCACCTCAGAGACCTGGCTCTTATCAAATGCACAATTCCCTCCTTTCTGCAGTTTCATTGTCGCTATGGGCTAGAAAGACCCACTTCCTGGTATCTCTCCTTATACACTGCGGGTGCACAGCTGTGGCACACCCGGCTGCCAACGGCCACTATCTATCATTTCTGAAATGCGAAGAGGGAAGGTGTTCCGAAGTCACAATAACCTTCAAAAAATAAAAGTGAAGTAACTTGCTCTATCAGAACAAAACACCTTTCCTTACTGGGAAACACAGGAATACATACATGCCCTGAGTGAGGCAGACGTGGCCACCAGGACCTGGCCCTGACACTCCTGCCTTGACCCATCTACTCCAGCCACACCAGAATGTTTTCCATGCACCAGGAAGGAAAGGAACTTGCAACTTTTCACGCTTTTGTTCTTGGTGGTCTAAATGCCACCCAAAATACTATTCTGGTGTTATTCCACCAAAAATTGCTATTTTAATGTTATTCCAACAGTATTTTTTCATCCATTTAAGTAGTACTATTGAACCATAAATAAATGGATTAGAAGGGCCGGCAGGTGTCGCATTGGTTAAGGTGCTGGACTCCCTCATAGCCGACCATGGTTCAAGTCCAGGACCTGGCGGCTTGCTTTCTCACTTTCCCTTTCTCTCTCTGTCTCTCTCTGGTCAAATTAAAGATAATAATAATAATAACAAATAAAATAAAATAATTATTTTTAAAATAATAAATAAATTAATGAATTAAATTCTTAAGACACCAAATGTTATTTCAAGGCTTCTTTTATTTGCCTTTACCCTGAAATACCACAGTAGTGAATACTAGGGTTTTGTTTCTTTTTTTTAAGAGAGATTTTTGCCATAGGGCACATGTGCTCTCCAAAGAGACAAACGGAAAGCAAGAAATCACACCCCAGGGGGATGGTCATGCCACTATCCCTTCTCCTCCATTCTCTTCTTGGTATTTTGGGCACACACACTCACCCAGCTTGAGTTCTAAGCCGCTGGGTGTGGGACTCAAACCGTGGTCGGCTATGTGAGAGTTCAGCACCTTAACCACTATGCCACCTGCTGGCTCCAGGCATTTTTCATGAGTCCCAATTAAAGAGGTTACCATATAAGCAGCAGCTATAATTAATTCACTACCCTACGCATGCACTGCTGCTTTTCTTCCCACCAGAAACTTTCGGAGTCAAAATCCCAAATGTTCCTTCATTTACAATGGGGTCACACCCTGATAAGCTGTGGCCTAGTAGTTAACGTAGCCAAATCCCACAGGGCCAACAGCAGTTCAAATCCTGGCACCAGCATTTGGAAGACATGCCAGGCATGTGTGATATGTACCCAAACTCTCAACAGGATAAGGAAAAGAAAGAGATGGTGGCATGACTGTATCTCTTTAGGGGGTACTTTCTCTCTCTCTCTCTCTTTCTCTCTCTCTCTCTCTCTCTGTAAGTACACACACACACACACACACACATATCTGATACACTTACTCTATCAAACATCACAGCTTGGCCTAGCCTACCTTAAGCATACTCAGAACACTTACATTAGCCCACAGTTGGGCAAAGTCATCTAAAACAAAAGTGTTGAAAATCTCATGTAGCTTGCTGAATACTAAACTATAACATGAAAACAGAATGGCTGTGTGAGTACCTGGTGGACTAAATCACCGGACCGATACGTAAAACAGAGAATAAAAATTATGTGCTACACAGTTGAACAAAACAGACTAAGGATTTCATCTGGATAGGTTACTTGATTTTTCCAGCTGAAAAAGGGGCCAATTAGAATTACTAAGGAAACTCAATTCTAGCAACCAGGAGAAGGTTAGGTACTTCTGTGTGGTCTCCCATTTACCAGTCCTCTGTGATTTATTTCATTCCAGTGTAACCTGACTCCCCAGTATGTGCTTTATCGGGGTCACATCATCTCCAGAACTTGCCAATGGTTTTTGTGCCACATGCTATACATACGCTAATGAAGAATCTTGTTCGTTTTTCAGACCAATCGAGTATGTCATTTTGGAAACTACAAAATGAACGATTCAGTCCTGTAGCTCAACAACAAACAATTCAAAACGGGCCAAGGCCTTGGATGGACACTTATCCTACGAAGACACACAAACAGCTAAGAAGCACAGGGGAGATGGTCAACACCGTTAGTTATAAGGGAAATGCAAATAAGACAGAATGAGGTATCACTTCACGCTCACTGGGATGGTTCTTACAAAAAAAAAAAAAACACACAGAAAATAGCCAATATTGGTAAGAATGTGGAGAAACCCGCATTGCGGGTGGGAATTTAGGAAATATAGTACAGCCACCGTGGAAATCCAGTTTGGTGCTTCTTCAAAATGTTAAACACAGAACTACCATAAACCCAGCAATTCCACTGGATTATAAGAACTGAAAGCAGGACTCAGACAGATACTTATACCAATATTCACAGCAGCGTGACCCACGACAGCCTTTATTTTTGGTAAAATCCATGCCAGTGTCCACCAAGAGATGAATGGATAAACAAAACGTGAGAATAGTATTCTGTCTTCAAAAATAAACAGGATGCCCTGATACATGCTACAATACGGACGAACCTGGAAAACATCCTGCTAAAAGAAATAAACCAGACATAAAAAAGATAGAAATACGGTATGATTCCACTTACATGAGGTAACTTGAGTGATCAAATTCATTTAAAAAAAAGAAAAAAAAAGAGTGGAGAATGATGGCTGCCGGGGCTGGAGGAAGCAGAGTTCCTGTTTATTGGGTGTAGAGTTTCTGTGTGAGAAATGAAAACGCTCTGGAAATGGATGGTGGCAACCTGTGGGTGTAATTATGGCTCCTGAGTTGTACACTGAATAATGGTAAATTTTATGTGATGTACATTTTGCCACAATAAAAAAAGAAAAAAGAATGACCGGATACACATTATGAATTCACTACTTACTGCCACTGTTTCCTTCAGTCCTTTGAGGGGTAACCATTATTCATTCATTGCAGACAACTTGATCTATTGACTCCCACCAGACACACCCACATGCATGTGCACATGCTCAAACATTCAACATCAAGTAAGGGCCAACTTCCCCCTCACCTGGCGTCCTCTCGAGCTGTGAGAAGAAAGCCTCCCATCATACTAGGGCCGGGGTCTTCTCAGCACAAGTCTCCCAGGAGGGATTTAGGGCAGGAGTCTCTATAAAGCAGACACTAACCACTAGTCAGTGTCTACCCTGGACACTGGAAAAGGGAAGGAGTGGAGGTAACTAGCAGGATTTAGTCCTAGCTGCGTTCCTGAGTGACAGAAGACGCCAGTGGACAGCTCTACGTACCAAACCAAATGTGGGACGACTGTGGAAAAACACCAGTGAAACAACCATATGATGCTTTATGCCTGTTTTACAATCTATTAGGAATCCGATTGTTCTTTTTTAACAAAAGGTATACACTTGGCCAAAACTGAGTCACATTAGCATCGTGGCCTCCCCGACAATCTGAAACAATCCCACGCTGCCCGTGGAAGAACTCTAAAAGGGATTCAAAGATATTGGGTGGTCAGAAAAGTCATGATGTATTTTTCTATGCAAACATGCATTATGACTTTTCCGGCGACCCAATAGCTAAAATCTCTACCTAACATTAGCTGCCTGGGACCAGCAGTTAGTGTTATAGCTATGTCACTGAACTCCCATATAGTTACACAAGCACGGTTCATGTCCCGGAACCAGTGGCTTAAAATTCACGCCGGGCGCATGTGCGTGCGTGCCCAAGATCCCCAGAGGAGAACAGAGGAGAAGGGATTGCGGCGTGGCCATCCCCCCTGGGGGGTGATTTCTCACTTTCTGTCTCTCTGTCTGTCTGGCAAGCGCACGACCCCTATAGCAAAAGCCTCTCCCCCCCCCAAAAAAAAAAAAATAGCTGCCTAACGATTCAATTCTGCTTTCTCTATCTGGATAAATGAGGCTTGTAACTCTAGGGGTGAAGGTCATCTGCCTTCCTGGCTAATTCAAATCCAAGCTAACAACTTTTCTTCCGTTTTAGACCTCCCTCAACATATCATTAGTGCTGAATAAATGCCCATTAAATAAGTGACTTACTGAATGATTCAAATGCTCAGTTGTTTCAGGTGAGCATCTTTCTCTACCTCATCTCCCAAACTGGAACCTGATTTTCAAGAAAAAAAAAAAAGTTGTTATGCATCAAAAATACCTGTAAGAAAAGCACATCCTCCCCTATAATTTTTTAAGGTTTTGCCATAGGACATGTGCACTCGCTGGAGAGACAGAGACAGTGACACAGCAAGTGCTGTGCAGAAGGCAGAGAAGTATGACAGGAGCAATGGCCATGCTGCAATCCCTTCTCCATTCTCTTCCTGGGATTTTGGGTACCCCTGCATGTGCCTAAGTTTCAAGGCACCAGGTCCAGGACTCCAACCATGGTCAGCCAGGTGGGAGTCTAGCACCCTAACCACCACACCACCTGCTGGCCCCTCCCTTGTAATATTTTATATTTTTAATAATTATTTTATTTTATATTTATTTATTTACTTCTTTTAATTTGACCAGAGAGGGACAAAGCGAGAGAGAGAATGAAAGTGAGAAAGCAAGCTGTCCCGTGTGGGACTCGAACTGTGGTCGGCCATGTGGAGGCCAGGGCCCTTAACCACCACACCACCTGCCAGTCTCAGCCCCTATAATATTTTAAATTCACAAATTATTGGTACGACCACACCTTTAGGTGAAAAGAGCAACTCATCGCATTGCACAGGCACCTCCCCCAGGTTCCCCAGGTTTCCACCTTCATTCTACAATGGAAAGAAGAAAGGGGGGCAGGGGCACCAGCGTCAGGCCCTGGGAGTCTAGCACCCTGCCACTCCCCCAGGCAACAAGCCACTCCCCCAGGCGCAGCTTCCTGGGGCGACAGCCTCATGCCTTGCTTCCTGTCCCTGCTCTTCCCACCTATCCTGTCGGGAAAGGTCAGTTAACCACAAATATGAGTTAAGTTTTCCCATATGAACCAAATCTCAACGTCCCAAGAAAGAGTCAATAAAGATTTACCTTCAGGATTATTATTTTAAAGTGAGATTATACTTCTCTGTTCCTCTGTCAGTTGCAAATCCCCAACCCTACTAGAATTCACTTAAAACTAATCTACAGTGGTTTTTATTGGAAGAAAGCAATCAGGAAAGCTCTGGCCCACTGAACAGCTGGGAATTTCGTTGCCGCAGGTTTGGTTTAGTCTTTATTTTTCTAGCTGCTGGGCCTGCTAACGTGATTCTGTGAAGGTCGCATTTAATCTTGCAGAGAAGAGCTACCTAAGCAGTTCTTAGGTAGGCTTCAGTAAAAATAAATTGCCTTGGCTCTTAGGGTAGGTCTGTTGCTTCAACCCAACAATTAGGGTCAGTCAAAGAAAACAAATGAAGGCAACTGTTAAATACTGTACTTGATTTCAAAAAGAATTTCACTGCATATATACTGTGGGCTCAATGTGTTGGTTAATAACAAAGTTATTGTTAAGAAGGAACTCAGAGAGACCATAACAGCTCCCAAACATGTATCTCCAGTTTACCACCAAATGTAACTTAGATACATTTACAAAACGTATCATCATGGGAACTTACATGTCAACTTAAACATCAAAGGAATAGACTGGTAAGATTCTTGTAAAGGTCTAGGCACAAGAAGAAAAGCCAGACCATTTTCACTTTCTGGATGCAAAAGCCCTAATGCAAACTGACAAACTCCAGTGGTTATGTGCTCAGCGCACAGAGCAGGAGGGATCCCACACAAAGCAGACCTGGACTATGCGTTCTGAGCTGGAATTCAGCCTTCCGAGTTAACCTTTGCTTTACGGTTGAAAATCAAATCAACAAATATTTACCCAGTTCTTACTGCACAGCAAGTGCTGTGCAGAAGGCAGGGAAGTATGACAAGAGCCTAGCTCTCAAATGACTCCCCACATAGGTGATGCAGATGGAAAAACCCAAGTAATCAAAGATTTTCACAACAGCTCAAGAGGTAGGGACATTCATCAGGTGGACACGGCTAATCGCCATGGGAATGGCACACACAGCCTGCTCCTCCTGCGGCAACCCAGAACCTTCCACCGTTTTAGGCCAGACAGAGCAGCTAAGCTTCCCGGGGAGAGGCACAGGCGATTCGTGCAGCAGACACTGTAAGTCAGCTTTCCTTCCTTTTAGGTTGAGTCACTGAGTTAAAACGTTCCCATTTCCCTTCACCTCTGATTTATCTCCTAATCTTGCGCCATCCATAGGGTAGCCACTGGTCACGTGTGTCTATGAGCACTTTCAAAGGTGGTGACCTTTCGTAGATGTAAAAGACACATTGGATTGGGGTCAGCAGATGTTGTGGTGGTCAAGGCACTGGACTCCCACCAGGCTGACTGAGGTTTGAGTCCCAGACCTGGTGGTTTGCTTTGTCACTTTCCTTCTTTCTTTCTGTCTCTTTCTGGTGAGCATATATGCCTTGTATATATTTTTTAAATAATAATAAAGTTAAATACATAATTTAAAAAAAAACACACACTGGATTTTGAAGACTTTGTATGAAAAAAGAACATAAAATATGTGTTTTTACGTTAATGACGTATGAAAAAAGAACATAAAATATGTGTCTTTACATTAATAAAATAGTGAAATGACAATATTTTGGATAGAACATGTTATATCTAAAATAAAAATCATATCACCTTTTTTACTTTTTTAATGTGATAACTAGAAAATGTAAAACATACAGGTGGCCCCTATATTTGTAGAACAGTGAGCTTCTGACTTGTAACAGTTATACCCAACCCTAGTTTCGAAGCAACAAAAACAAGACGCCATATTCATCAAGGGAGAGAAACAGGTCTAATTTTTTTTTTCAGATAAAAATTAGGGATTTGGAGTCTTTCTCGGTTGTAAAAGAAAATCAGAGGTTACACTCTAAGTCATACAAAGTCACTTTCCACTAGGGGACTTAGAAGGTGGATATATAGGAGTAATTTTCCATTAGGGGACTTAGAAGGTGTATATGTAGGTGTCATTTTCCACTAGGGGACTTAGAAGGTGGATATG